ATGTTATACCATACAACTTTTTATAACTATTTTTGGTTTTACAAATCATGTTCAGGTTTTATGTTTGCTATACATTTAATAATATTTTGTATAAATTTTCTAAAAAAAAAAAGGTTGATCAGATAAATAAAATATTACAAACCTGCACTGTTGATTTCTAAAACATATGATTTAGATTTCTGATGATAACCATTTTGACTATTGACAGATGTAGGTAAACACTTTAAATATGTAACCATGGAGACACAGGTGCTCTTTCCTCTTATTCTTGAGCTTGTTTTGATTAAACAGCAATTTGAGGACATTCTTTCCAACCATCTGGCAGCAGTGTCTCAGTCTCAGAAATGGACAAAAAGAAAAACTCCTATCATTATGATTCTTCCACTACCGTGCCTCTTCATTAGATGTGCTGGACAGGGCTGAGAGTGTATTTTTTTCTTTTTCTGCTTGACTCAGACGAGGTCTGAGGTAACAGACGAGGTCTGAGGTAACACCTGCCGGTCTTCCTCCTCCAGCTCATGATCTCTGAGGTGTTCCTAAACCAACTGTGAGATCTGATCTCTCCTGAGAGTTTTGGGTCCACCTTAAGGTTTCATCCCAGTAAGTTCTCCTTTAGATGGTGTCCTTGAGGACTTTTCCCTAGTGCAGCTCTTATAGGTAAAGACTGGAACATAAATCACTTGGTAAATGGACACATTTTTATTTCAGCCTAAAGGCTGATTTACCCCTAGTTTACACTACATGCGTTCCGGCTCCGCTCCGCTCCGGTCTGACCTCAGCAGCAAATACACACCCATTCTAATCAATGAGAGTGTTTACACTGCTGCGCACGGCAGCGGTGTGCAGCGGTGAGCGGATGGCAATCTGGCTAAATTAGATCCGATCCTATTTCTGGATGCTGGAGCGGCGCCGGAGTCAATATTTAAAGATTTCATCGCACCAACAGGAAGAGGAATGAGCACAACATACGTATTTTCAAAATAAGACACTATTCAGCAAAATAATTTGTTGGAATAATGTCGAAACCCCAGCTATATTAATAAATATATGGGAATATTTCTACACAAATGCTTTTAGAATGTATCGTTCTGTTTGGGAAGCAGATGGAAACGTAGCATGAAGCATATGTGTGCACACACGATACACGTGGATTTTATTTTGAAATAAGAGGTTTCAGAAAGATGACAGCGAGACAGTTTCAACATAGATACCAAAAGTCTTTATATCGTTGTTTTCAGCTGTGTTTGGAGTTCGTCTTTGACAGAATTAATTATTTTTTGCTGCGACTTCCACATTTATCACTGAATTTATCGCGCAATCGCCTTCCTTCACACACTCTGTCGTACCAGAGCGGGGCGGGGTTTGTATAAATTGAGACACAAACGAACAGCTGTGACCTGCGCACCGCAGTGCAGTGGAGCGGAGACGCATGTAGTATAAATCCGGGGTTATACTTTCATTCTCACATCTTGCTTATAGTCTTGTGTGATGAAAATTGCTTAACTTTGGTCTGTTGTCACCTGCTGACACCCAGTCAGAACTCTGTCCTACAAACCTATGCAGCTTGCATTGTGTGATTGGTCAGAACTTTGTGGGTGTGTTTGTTCATTTGTAGCTGTGTGTTCTTCTGTGTGTCTTTTTTTAACCTGATTTCCCTCTGGGATGAACAAAGTATTTTTGAATTGAGTTTTAATTTTGCTGAAAATGGTCCGCTCCCAATAGCTGATTGTAAATTTATCAAGATATAACATGCAACCAATGTTTGTGTCTTCTTTCCATTTTTGCAGTAAGCAAGAAAAAACAAATTTTCTCCAACAATTTATTCAACAACACAAGCCTCTCTTTAAACATCTGATACATTGTCACTGTTGCTGTTTATATGCTTAGCTATGGGTGCTACATTAGAAGTGCTGTGTGAAAGATTATGATGCTTCACCCCCCACGTCTTCTACATGAGTACAAAACCTCAGAAAGTAAAAGATGTCCAAAATGACGCAATCACTGATCTGCTGTCTGACATCTTGTGAAGTATGAACTAGAGCTGCACGTACACTGAGCATCGCAATTTACATGTGCGCAATAGTCTCATTGCAAGTCCTGCAATGTTGGAGGCAAATTAAATCAATGTGTTATAGGGTTGGGGATAATCGTATCGTGTGCAATTAATCGTCAGAAAAACATTAACTGATTATTTTTTGGCGCTTGACGATTAATACGATTAATACCACCAGGGAGAGTCTGCTGGGTACTCCTCTCCGCTTCTAATATGATGAACATTTAAAAAAAGTTCTGTAATTTATTTATCTATCAACACAATTTAAATATTTGATTTATAGCCTGAAGTCTGTGATTTTGACACAGTTTGATACTGATTATTATGAAGAGCAAATCTTTCCCACTAAATTGGTCATGTGACTAGGACATGAGGGTGTCCAGGGGATTAATCATCAAATTAATCGTTATTGACTAAATACCCCAATTAATCGTAATTAACTTTTTTTTGCTAATATTGCCCAACCCTAATGTGTTATCCAGGGTTTCCCCTAGATAAAATTCAACAAATGGGCCAAATGAAGTTGCTTCAGTTAGTGTGTCGCTGCAGTCATGGGGCCTCTTTCACTTAAGGGGGTATACGAAGGACTCCAGTCCAGTCACTCAGTGTTTCAAATGGTTGTTGCATTTGGCCACTTCAGTATCATCCTAGCAGGTCTCGCTCAGCTCACCCCAGGCATATACCTACATAACAACATTGAAAGTGAGCAACGGCGAACAGGAGAAAATCACTGAAAACAAAGACTTGGTGCCAAAAAGAAAAGCATAG